TGAGCTGTTCCTGGTATTTACCTGTGAACAGACAAGAACAGACACGTCCTTGTCAGCAAGGAGTTCCCATGATACCCTAATATGACCAAAGACCAAAATATATAGATATATCTGTTGTTTGCAAGATACAGATAGTCATAATAATATGTGTTTATGTCTCTTAATGCCCTTTACAAAGAAAGGATAAATTATGTCTTCATGCCCATACACAAAATTTGATCTGACACTCATGTGAAGGAGGGCTGGTAGTCGGTTGTGGGGGTGGGGGCTTGTTTGTGCCACGTCTGGGGAAACACAAGAAGTATCTTTGTGTCGTCTTCCTGAAAGCAGCATCTGACACTCTCAACAGTATCTTAGCAGGTTCCTCTTCACGGTCCTCTCTGTTTTCTGTCTCATCACTCTTGTGAAATGAACGGCAACATCGCTGGAAAACCTTCCTGCTATTTTTCAACCCACAGGACAATATCTGCAGCTTCTTGAAAAACTGGATTTACAATAAACAGGCTTCTGGCTCAATTCTGGCAACATTGTAGCAACCAGAACCATGAACAAAAGAGGCCAATATGTAAAAAAAAAACCCTATTGTTGGGTAAAAATGTCAAATTCCTACAATGTGACTGTAGAGAGGAGGCTTGTTAGGTGACTTTGCTCAGCTTCATCTGATGATTTCACTCCTTGGATGTCTGCTGAGGTGAGGGTCTTCTTCCTTCCTGCATATGAAAAGACCAGAAAGATGATTATCATTTAATTTACTTAGAATTAGGTGATCAGTAGTCATTGTTGACACACCACAGTGCACAACAACGAAATGTGTCCTCTGCATTTAATCCATATGTGACAACGTGACATAGCAGGGGGAAGCTAATTCAGCGTCCGGGGAGCAGTGCTTGGGGGCGGTACCTTGCTCAGGGTACCTCAGTGGTGATTTGCTGGTGGGGGATTCAAACCAGCAATCTTTCAATTACAAGTGACCACAGTGGTGTCCTAATTTATTTAGGGACTATCGAGGGCATCCTGAGCAGCTGCATCACTGTCTGGTATGGAAACTGCACCGTATTGGATCACAGGACCCTACAGTGGATATTGAGAACAGCTGAGAAGGTCATTGGAGCCTCTCTTCCCTCTATCACAGACACCTATCGCACCCGCTGCATCCGCAAAGCCACCAGCATTGTGAAAGACCCCACACACCCCTCACACACACTCTCCAGCATTGTGAAAGACCCCACACACCCCTCACACACACTCTCCAGCATTGTGGAGGACCCCACACACTCCTCACACACACTCTCCAGCA